TCTTCCCCTTTAAACTCCATGAGTACAGCACCATGTCTGACTGTTTGGCATTTTAATTTAGTGCCTGGTCCATAGTAAATATTCACTCTATGTGGGATTCATCTTTCATTCAATACTTACTATGACCCTAGTGGGCACTCTACTAGAATATAAAAGTATGTACCAAATGGGACAAATTAGTTCTCTCTTCTTTCTAGGTACAATCCAAAAATAAATAACTAAATATATACAATTAGCTATATATAATAAAATATTCTTTAAAAACAAAGTCTTGTGAATCTATGACATTTTTCTATACTAAAATTTAGTTTCATGAGTGACTCATACCCCATAGAAGCTTCAAACTCATCCAGTTCTTCCTAGACTCTTTCAAGCCAATAAGTTTACCAGTGTAGCAGGACTTCAATATCTCTGCAAGGAGCTTTTGCCTTCAGATATATACCAAATACAGTAGCTGTCATATACAATCCAATCACCACCACCTCTTGCTCATTTCCTTACTCTTGACAAGATCCAACACTTCAAAGAACACTTTTTTCCTTCAATGTTTTCCTCTCACTTTAGTATTTGTGAGCCACTACAGAACTTCTTCTGGCTTCTTTGACACAATAATAATATGAAAATCTCATTGACTAAATTTTTGGAAATAATCAACAATAATACAGAACAAAATTGAAGAAACTGGTTCTAAACTTACAGAGGCTGTAGGCACATCGGCCATCTGAAGTTGATGACACTGCCTTGCCTTTGAGGGGTGATAGGAAGCAAATGTTTGTGCAAGGTTAGCAAGGCACCTATCACCCGGAGTTAGCACTTACCAAGTCAGCAGGAGCAGCCTAACAGTTGCTGAGCATTTCCTACTACAGTGAACAGAAGTTTATAAACCTACAGGTAATGAAAGAACCAAGAAGATAAAACACTTCTCCTATGAATACAAATAAATGGATACTTTGGAAAATAAAAAATATAAAGTAGGTCACCAAAATGATTTTTTAAGCTGATGAAGGAAATATTCTGGCTTTGTATAAATTAAAGCAAGATGGAATTCAACAGCCTCATTCAATCTCCATTTCCGGCAAAATACCACACAACATTAACTCGCTTTGCATAAGACAAATGGAAACAGGCCTGCAATGCATCACAGCCATAATATATTTAACAAGATGGAGATGAACAATGAAACTTCCAGAGAAACTTACAGTACTGATGCCTTGCCTCACAGTTGCATTTGCATATAAATGTTTTAGAATAATTTATTTCATTAGGGTTAGCCAGAGAATATGCATGTTGGGAATGGATGGGGATTTTGCCTACATTCCAATTTTGCTGAAGGAAAACAGATTCTTCTATCTCCAGTGATAATAGTTTTGAGGTAGTAAAATATAGCAATAATGATGGCACTAATAATGCCACTGTGGTTTTACTTCCCTCTGAAACAGATGTCACTAAGATCTCAGGAAATTTTCAACACATAAGCATCATGCATGCCTCAAGGAATAATTTGATAATATCCTTTTTAAAGTTCCAAGCCTCTAGAAGCAACAATGCTAATCATTTCTGAAGGACTGTGATTAACTTAAGGAAATTAATTCTTGAGGAGTTTTAAGGGACTTTATAACTATCAAAAACTAGCCACCAGAGGTACACTCCCAATTGTCAATCAATTAGAATCCCAGTCCAAAAATTCAGTCTTTGATTTAATAATATGGTTTACCCCCAAATGATTATTTTCTCTGTAATATTTTACTTCATGATAAAGAATTCTGACAAAAATACGTTTTTTATAAAGTGGAATCATGTTATACAGGAAAAAAAACAAAAAGCAGAATATAAACCATTTGTTTTTTTAGTATCCAATGTACCCTGCCTACAGAAGAAGAAGAAGAAGAAGAAGAAGAAGAAGAAGAAGAAGAAGGAGAAGGAGAAGGAGAAGGAGAAGGAGAAGGAGGAGAGAAAGAAAGAAAGAAAGAAAGAAAGGCCATTAAAATAACAAAAAAGGAGAGAAAAAAGCAAACAAGGAAGGATGGAAGGAAGAAAAGAAAAAAAGAAAAGAGAAAAATCCCTCTACTGCTGACTCATTCCTGACAGAAAGCCATCTATAATTTTCTGGGGCAAGGAGCTGACTTTCTACTTCTACTGATGCAGTCTCTACTCCTGAATTCTGGAAACGGCTGAGGCAACAGAAGAGAAAGAGGTCAAAATCCTATGAAAGACACTATGTTTTTAGGGCAACTATAATGAGAGCTGCAGGAAAGTTATTGATCTGTGCCCTTTGCTTTATTTCCAGCATATATTAGAGTAACGTTATTTCCCTCTGAAAGTTCAGTCTATTCGTCTGGGCACTTGCAACAACAGAGCAAACAGCAAAGCAAAATTTTAGCGTATTCATTAGCAAAGAGTCAAAAGGTCTTTGCAGAAATCCAGGCACAAGCAAAAAAAAAGAAAAGTTCAATTCTGAATCTCTGAATCACATGAGTGACAAAACACACGAAGATTGAAGAGGTGCCAATAATAAACACATGCATTGGAATGGAGTTGCATGTGTATGATGTTCTTACTCAGCATTATAACCATTAACCTCAACTAAAGCAGGCAACCCTGTAAGATACAGGAGCTCCAATACTGACAGAATTACTCTCCAAACCAGATATTTGTCAACCATCTGTTTTAATGCATTCCATAACAGTTAGATAGCAGTTTAAAGGTTTTTTTATTCTTCATTTACCAATTATAGTACTTTGAATGAAGTTCATAAGAGAATTTCTTTTGAAGAATTTTTAAATCACTATCATTATTATTTAGATATCCAAAAATATTTCAGAAAATATGAATAAACTATATCAGCCTTTCCAAGATATTAAAATAAGTCTATCTAGGCTGAATTCGTATTCTTTCTCCTTAATTCTGTTTAGTCTGTTTTTAAAATGTGTGCATATTAAGTGAAAACAGCAAAACCTCCTCAGTACTATATTAAGAAAAGCATAACCCTTCATGCACATCCATTCAAACAAATGAGAAAATTATTTTTTTCTCATGTGACTTTTTTCCCTGAGTTGGGTCTCCCTGTGTAGTCTAGGCTGCCCATGACCTCCAAATCATCCTGCCTCAGACTTCAGAGCACTGACATTATAAGTACACACCACCTCATCTATTTGCTTCTATTCACCAAAGAAATTAAAATATTCATTGATTTTTTTTCTCTCCCATGCCATGGCACCCTTGATGTGCCTTGTATGTGTTGGGGACAAGGAGGGTAGAAGCGAAGGAGGGGAGAGTGAAGAGATCACTTCACAGGCAATCTCATTTTGTTTTTTTGGTTTTTTTTTTTTTTTTTTTTTTTTTTTTTTGGTTAACTAACTCCTAATTCCAAATACTGACAAACAATACTGGATTACTGTTCCCTAAAATCTGACCTGACCAACATGTTCTCCCAGGGTATAATAGTCATCTCTTAGGATCTGAATACAACTGCCATGTTATCCTATGAAACAAAAACTTTGAAATTCAAATTTCATTTACTGTTTTAAGGAAATGTAGAAATTCCAAATATTTTCCTATTCACAAATATCATACATGGTGAAGAGGAAAACATAAGACAGAGTTAAAACCACAGACTTCAGAATCAAGTAGCCATGATTTAATTTCAAGATTAGCCAGCTTCTAAACATAAGCTTGGGCTAATTACGATCTCTGAGTCTCAGTTCTTCTAATTATAAGATGTGAACACTAATAACTAGCTCACAGAGTAGCAGTGAAAACTAAATGAAATAACAGAGATAAATTATCTCAAAAACAGCTTGGTAACTAACACATGTTCAGCAACTGTTCCATTCTTTCTTGCCATTGATTTATCAACTTAACATGTGTGATAATAAACACTCTTCATTACAAACAGGTTTGTCGCCTTCAGAGGCCAGAGAGATGGCTCAATAGGAGAGGGCATTTGCTGAGAAAGCCTGGCTACCTAGTTCAATTCCAGACACCCATATAAAGGTGGGTGGCAAAGGGCTAGATAAATGGCTCAGTGGTTAGAAGCATTGGCTGTTCTTTCTCAGGGCCCAGGTTTCATTTCCAGCACTCATATAATGGCTTACAACTGTTTGAAACTCCAGTTCTAGAATATCCAAAGCCTTCTTCTGACCCCCATAGACAAATGGCATGCACATGGTACACAAGGCAAAACACCCCAACACAAAAATTAAAATAATAATACTTTAAAAATGAATGGAAAGAATCAACTGTAAAAATGGTGTTTTGAACTTCACACATGCTCATGCAAGCATACATTAATGCATGTACATGTGCACTAGCAAATGCACTGTTGTGTAACAGTCTCCTCTAAGATTAAATTAAAACATCCCACCTTGCAGATGTGCTCTTTAAGAAGGGAGGTAGACAACACCAAAAAAATTGCTTCAAGAACTCCCTGAAACTAAACAGTTTCACTCGTTCCCTCCCTGCCAGAGTAAGCAGAGTCCAGCTACAAAGCAGACTCTCAGGCAAGCTGAAGTGCAAAGAAGACTCTGGGACTATGCCAGCTTCCTGGAAGAAGCAGAAACCAGACAAGATGCCTGGTTGATCTTTAGAGGATAAGATCAACTGAGGCACCTGGAAAGGACACGCTCCAACCTATTGAGCTGCCTGCAGGCCGTGCAGTGTGCTCTAGGTTTCCCAGATGCTGGGGTGGGCCTTGGCGATGCTGATGTCATTTATGCTCCTGTAAGTAATCACTTACCCATATTTCTGTAAGTAACCCTAATAAAATTCATTAGTTTAGCAAAAAAAAAATTGTATCTCTCATTCAATGTCCATGAATACGAACAATAGGCTTAAATTTAAATTTTATCAACAAATCAAAGCAATGCCTGGCCTGAATATATGTGGAATATAATATCCTCAGCTCAAGAAAATAATCCTACCTGAAGATAAGTTATCTACTCCTCATCCTAGAAAGTATACAAGAAAAAGAGAAGCCAACACCAAACTATACACTTGTCTACCTTGGCTGATTGTCCACAGTGAGGCTCTCTCCCCTCTGATAGCCACTGTCTGCCACCTGAGTGGTTGACCTCTTCACAATCTGCTTTAGCTCCTGCTCCAAACGTTCTTTAATGGCTTTAACTGTCTCAGGGATCTTCTTCAGTCTGGCCAGCCCCTGGATAAGAATTCCCATGAAAAGAGTGCTGTTCTCCTCTGGATCACACTCCAAGTCCTCCTTGATGTCTTGCAGGTTCATCTCTCTCACTGTAAAATAAAAGCACACCAGAAATACCAGAATCAGGTAGTATCCACTTAAGAGTGAGTACATACCATGTTCATCTTTCTGTGTCCGGGTTACCTCACTCAGGACAATTTTTTCTAATTCTATCAATTTGCATGCAAATTTCAAGGTGGCATTGCTTTTTTATCACTGAGTAGTTTTCTATTATGTAAATGTACCACATTTTCTTTACCCATTCTTCGGTTGAGGAGCATCTAGTTTTTTTTTTTTTCCTAGGTTCTGGACAGTACAAATACTGCTGCTATGAACATAGTTGAACAAAAGTCCTTGTAGTATGATTGAACATTCTTTGGGTATGAGTGGTATTGCTGGTCTTGAGGTAGGTTGATTCCCAATTTTCTGAGAGTAGACAACCACAGAGAAGCTAAGTAACAAGGAGAACCATAAGAGAAACATATATGAAATATCCCCTGGGAAGGGGAAATAGACAAGATCTCCTGAGAAAATTGGAAGCATGAGGGTGGGAGAGAAAGAAGGGCAGAAGGGGAGGAGGAGGGAAGAAGGAGAGGGGGCTGGAGAACTTGAGGGAACGGGAAAATTGAGATGGGGAAGGGCAGAGACGGAGAACAAGGAAAGCGATATTTTGGTTGTGAAAGCCATTATGGGCCTAACAAGAAACCTGGCACCAGAAGAATTCCCAGGATACCACGAGGATGACTGCAGCTAAGACCCTAAGCAACAGAGAAGAGGGTGCCTGAACTGGCCTTTCCCTGTAGTAAGATTGATGACTATCTTAAATGTCACCATAGAACCTTCATCCAGCAACTGATAGAAACAGAGGCAGAGATCCACAGGGCAACACTGGGCTGGGTTCCCAAAGTCCAGTCAAAGAGTGGGAGGAGTGAGAATAAGACAATGATGGGGACACCCACTGAAACAGCTTACCTGAGCTAATGGGAGCTCACCAACTGCACCCGGACACGGACGGAACCAGCATAGGACCAAATTAGGCCCTCTAAATGTGGGTGAAGGCTGTGTGGTACTGGCTTTTTAGAACCCATTCTCTTTGGAAAGATACCTTGCTCAGCCTAGATATAGTAGGGAGAGTCTTGGTCCTTCCTCAAAACAATGTGGCTTACCCTCTATGAGGAGTAGATGGGGTGTGGGGAGAAAGGTAGAAGAATGGAAGGAGTGGAGGGAGTAGGAACTGGGATTAGTATGTAAAATAAAAAGATAGTTTTTTTTTTAAATAAAATAAAAATTTAAAAAATATCAGATCCAGTTTCCACATTAATCCAACAGCATGGCAGGCTAATATAGATCACTGCTTTGATTATTATCTTGAAGGAATCAGAAAAATTTTCTAGTAAATTGAGTTACATAGTACTATGCAGCAGTCCCCAATTCAAACTAATTGGTTAGTAATGAATGTACAAGCAATTATATAGGACAGATGCAAATCTACAGTTTTACACAGACTATTTTGACCCAAGTCTGTTCATAAATTAAGTACATGCTGTCTCTAAAATTCCATATATAGTATTAGAAGAGAACTCTAAAGACTCAAACCACAGTCTCAACTTCCTACTTATTAGATGTGATAATTAGAGGCAATAAAAGATGTTATAAAAACAGGTAGGGGCAAAAGTACATAACTACAACAAATAAGAAAGAAATGAAGAAAATTACGTAAGACAACATAAACATATGGGAAGAGTTTGAGGAAAATATAATAGTAAAGAGGTACTGAATAACTACCAAAAAAACCCTATTTTTTCTTCAAACATGTTTGACTTGGCATGGTGACCCACACAAACTAAGCCCAGCTACTGAGGGGCTGAGGCATAGGGATTCCATTTCAACGTGAGCATGGGCTAGAAAGCAAATTCCAACCAGTCTAGCATACATGAGACCTTGTTTATAAAAGTGAGTGTGACAGAAACAGACATTGTGTGTGTGTGTTACATCTTACACAGACCTTTGTTATAATCAATGAAAACCTTCTGACAAGTTATATTATATGCCAAATATCCCTATTGGTCTTTATTCTACAGCCTTTACCCAAACCCTATGATCTTAAAAGGAGGAAATAGCCTCAAACAATAGTTCTTAACCCCTGTGAGTAGGTGAGGAGGGTTATATGATGATCTGAGATCTTCGCCACTACTAAAAACTACATGATAAAAGCCGTATTAAAGCTGGAGAGATGGCTCAGCAATCATGAGGACTGGAGTCGGTGTTCTAGCATCCATGTAACAACCTAGATATCACTGAAAATGCCTGAAGCCCTAGGTATCAAAGCCAAACAAAGACAGCACAAGAAAGCTACAAACTAAACCAGTATTTACCATGAACCACATTTCTCAGCTACATATCTATATACCCATAATGGTTCGTTACTCACAGAATTCATTATTATAACGGCAGCATTATCCACAATCACCAAATTTAGAAGCAACCCAGGTGCTCACCAACACATGAACAGATTAGCAAAAGGGTGATCTATATAAACAATGACATGTCACTCCACTTTAAAACTGGGGAAGCCTGACACACTGCAACATGGATGAATCTTGAATCCATCATGCTCATTGAAATAAGACTGCCTGTCACAAAAGACAAATACTTGATGATTCCACTTATAATGAGGTACTTAGAAGGGTCAAATGCCTAGAAAGAGAGAAGGTTGTTTTTCAGGGGCAAGGAGAAGGAAGAAAAGAGTAGTTACTTCTTAATGGACACTGAGTTTGAGTTTTACAAGATGAAAAGAGCTATGCAGATGGACGGGGTATTGTCTGCACACATTATGAATGTATTTTTTATACTATTAATCTATACATTTTAAATGACTAAAAATAAGCTTAATGATATGTATATTTTAACATAAAATATGCACTTAAATATGAACCAGAGGTATTAATGACGTGCAAGATATAATTACTTATGCAAGCTCATTATTATGAATAAATCTTCTATATATTTATTCATGTTGTCTTATTAAACTCACTAGGCTCCCAGAAAGTCAAAGGGAGAGAGACCATATTCATAGGGCATTTTGTACAAAAGAGTATGTTCAATGATACAGTATTCAATGAGAATATTTAGCTGGGGGGAGGTGGCACACACCTTTAATCCTAGCACTTAGAAGGCAGAGTAAGGTGATCTCAATGAATTTCGAGGCCAGCCTGGTCTATAAAGTGAGTTCCAGGACAGCCAGGACTGTTACAAAGAGAAACTATGCTTTGAAAACCCATATATATGTTTGATACTAATGAAACTGGAAGTAGAACCCAGAGACTTGACTTCAAATGATAAAAACCTGAAGACAAGTTTTTAAAACATCATCAATACTTTCAAATGTAATGTTTTGAAAAATATACATTTTATTTCCTGATTTTGTTTTATACATGAATAAGTAGGATACCTCAGGCCACAGAAATAGTCTATATAGCAAATCCAACCCCACAGCAAGGCAAGAAAAGTACTCAACAGCAGGCAGCCACTCAATTCAGCATGGAATTGGAGGAAATGAAGCTGAACTACAAAAAGAGCTTCATGCAGGAAGAAAAGTAAAGGAAATTTCCCTGTTCAAAATGCTCCTTGTAAGAAACATCCCTATGAGTCACAAACAGGACATGTACAAAGGGTCACCTTAGACATTAGCGCTCCCTGCCCAGGGTGACAGATGAAAAGCTAAATACAGTTTAAGTCAATATGGCCTGCAATGACATGGCATATAGCTAGTCATATGCACACTAATATGAGAACTAGTTCATTAAAAAGCAACACACAAGCAAGATTTGAATAATAAAATGCCAAGGTTATAAACAGCACATCTGTTTAAAAACTTAGCCTTTGATTGTCTCCTGAAAACTCCTAGAGCCTAAACATTTAAAATATTCAATATTAATTGATTTATATTATCTACTTCACTTACATCAGCTGAAAACTAAGAGATAATGTAAAAGGATAATATAATCAACATGACTAGTCTAATATTCACAAACATCTACATTGTCAGATAACATCACTGGAAAAAATGTACAAAAATAATCTAAATTCAATAAGGCTCATGCAACAATCATAACACACCTGTGCATCTTTCAAAACTTTTGATGTCCACATCATTCCCAAGCATTGGAATTGCTATACTGGATATCCAATATATAGACATTAGACATTTTTTTTAATTTATTTTATTTTATGTTCATTTGTATTTTGTCTGCATGTATGTCTGTGTGAGAGTGTCAAGTCCCCTGGAACTGAAGTTACAGACAGTTGTGAGCTGCAATGTGGGTGCTGGGAATTGAACCCAGGTCCTCTGGGAGAGCAGCCAGTGCTCTTAACAGCTGAGTCATCTCTCCAACACCCCCCCCCATATTCAACATTTTAAAGCTAGAAATATATTACTTTCATCTCCAATCTTCTTACCCTTGAATTATATTTTGTTCTAAAGAGTCTAACAACTGAAGATGAATCAGATGTAGTTTTAAGAATCTTCTAACTGATAGGATAATGTAACATACTAAAGAACAGGAATGACTTTTACCTAGTTATTTGTCCTACAATCCTGCTGGCTCCAAGTATTTATTATTACACACACCGCTTTGTTTATACAGACCAAGGTGGATACAGACAGCAATAGCTGAGGGCAAACATGGAAGGAGGGTCTCGCCTGACTGAACTGATGAATGGATTAAGACAAAAACGCTAAGACCTTTTCAAGCTGCAGACTTCCACATTCACATTAACTATGCATCTCTAGTTACATGGCTTTGAGCCACTTATACATATACCTGTATTACTGATAGCGCATAAATTAGCAGATAAGGCCCAGGCATGATGGCACACATCTGAAATAATCATTAAATGAAGACTGCCCAGGGGCATACAAAAAGACACTACCCCACAGAAATTAACCAAAATATAACAAGTAAACAGGATGAATATCTATTCGTGAAGCTAAATACTTTTTGTTTAATAGCTCTGAAATGAGTATAGACCATTGGCTGCTTTCTTTCTT